TTGTCTGGGTACATCAGGGACCCTACTGCCATTTGTAGAACTGAGCAAGCTCTTGCACACACAAGGCACAAATCAGGCTGGCTAGAAGTGACTAGAATGCTCCTTGAGGACTATCACTGAGGAACAGAAGGATACTGCACACTAGTACCCCTACCTGTCACATTTTGCATTCAGACTTATTCCAGTCAGCACCTAATTATTTCCTTGGCACACTGAAGTCTTTATGCTTCTTTGCTCCACCCACAGGTCAGTCATCTTCATGTCTCCTGTTTGAGCAGCAGGCCAGGGGAGGTGAGAAAGTGCAGATTAAACTCTAGGAGAAGAGGGAGGAATGTCGCAGACAGAGGGAACAGAATAAAAGCCCCGTGGCAGGTGGGGGCATGGTGTGTTTTAAGGACCCAAAGGACAGCCAGCTAGTGGGCAGCGCTGTGAGAGGACATGGCCAGAGGGCAGGTCATACGGGCTGTTTCTCCAGCCAGGTTAGGGGCTTTGCCTTTTAGGCGAAGAGCCTGCTAGGTTAACATGGAGGTGGGGGATGGGATCCATATTTGTTTTAATCTCCCTGGCTGCCGCTTTAGGGGTGGATTGGAGGGATGGCCGGTGGAAGCGGGCCAGATGAAAAGTGGTGTCTTGAACTTGGGCAGTGACAGTGGAGGCAAGCTTTTGAAGCCAGTGGATTCCAGAAAATGGACAGCACTTGGTGATGAATTGAGTCTGTGAAAGGGCAGTGTTGTGTGACATCCGGCTTCCCAGCACATACCTATTCCAGCATATTTACAAACAACTCAAGGTCCCTGCCATAAGATGATTCTGCTGCTTCGTTTTAATATCTTTTCAGAGGGGGGGTTTGATGAATTTATGGAATTCAATAGAAGTGATCAAATTTAAACGTTGCTGTGATGTTAGAGGAAATGAACGTTTCAATGTTGGTTTGTTTAGGAAGAGTCTGACCCGTCTCTTCAAGCTCTTGAGTCCCGCCAAGATGATATTTTAAAACGTCTGTATGAACTGAAGGCTGCAGTTGATGGCCTTTCCAAGATGATTCACACACCAGATGCAGACGTGGATGTAACCAACATAATCCAAGCTGATGAGCCCACTTTCTCGACCAGTGCATTGGACTTAAATTCAGTGCTCGGAAAGGTGAGCTCATCTGGAGCGCGCTAAAGAACATCAGTGGCTAGGTTGTTTTTAGTGCCAGAAAATCATGCTCCTGTGATTCAAGCTTTGGTTTTCTAGTTCTCAAAGGTGGTACAAAGAGCATGTTCTTTTTTCCTCCCCTAAATGATTGCGCCTTTGCACAGAATAGATTCATGAGCTATGAGTGAAGCCAAAGCAAGTTCGAAAGGCGCTCGACATCTCAGACCTGGTGGAGAAGAGTTGAGTGGAGAAGAGTTGGGAGGATCCCTAGGCAGGGATAGGAGTCGAGTTACAGCTCCCCACCATTTGAGGCGGTGTGTGATGCAGGCCAGAGATGGGCGTCACTCTAGCAGCTTCCGAGCCGGGACAAACAGACTAGTGTCAGCTCAGTGCTTCTCAGGCTCAGCGAGTCCATCCTGACTGAGAGCAGCCTGAATCTCAGAGCGTTGGCCGCCCAGGCACAGCCTCATGGATCAAGTGTCTTTTGCTACATTCGGTTTGCAGTCTTTTCATCTGCCAGCTTTAAAGATCAGTCTGCAGGCTTCAGCTAATTTAGGTGACAGTCTGACATGCAAAAAAAGAATGTCTTGTTTCTAAGTGGTATTACTGAGAGCACAAAAGGGTTTGTCCCAAGAATTCTCTGGAGTTGGTGGTAGAAGTGCTCCTCCGTGAAGACCTAACATGTGGAGGTGGGGTTGCAGGTCTCCCAGGTGACCTCGGCACCTCTGCACTTAGGTTCTTTTATCACCCAGTACATTTGCCTGCACCGAGGACGCAGAGACCCGGCCAGGCCCCCAGGGAGCCAGTCTAGTTGACAAGTTGGTGATCACGCACAGCTGTGCCAGTGTCTCAGGTGCTGGGAGGGTGTCCTGGGGCACATGTTGCTTACAATGAATTTTGATACCTCAGAATGCACAGCATTGAGTGATGCTATGGTCAGAGAATTGCAAAGCATTCATCGTAGGTTGATGTGACGGGCTTTAGTCAGGAGTGGTGAGACTCCTAGTCCGATCGTGGTGGGCTGTGTACAGAAAGTCAAGGAATTTGAGTTTGGCCTCCCTGGTATTATAGGAGTTCGTTATTAAGAGCGAACGTATAAAATAAAGTCTGCATCTACAAGGGCAGTATGTTTTAGTCCTTTAGTTAACACCTAGTTTTTTAGACTTTGCCCACTTGCCATCACCAATGACATTTTGAGCCAAGGTCCTTAGGGGATGCTTCATTGACCCACAGTGTGTGTAACTCACACACAAAGTGATGTAGAAACTATCCTGTCAGGTGGTCAGGTGTTGGAAAGATTTGGTAGATGTAGTGACTGCATGTGTGGTTTTCTTTTTTAATAACTTAGGAACAAATAGCGTCATTCTTAATGTGTTGTTTTACTAACTTCACAGCTAAGTCAACCTTTTATTTGGCGGGGGCCAGCAGTGCAGAGGTTAAGGGATGGGAGTCAGCTCACGTCCCTGCTGCACTTCTTCCTGAGCACAGTGAGCTTGGGCAGGTTATTTGCCTCTCCAGGACGAGCTTCCTCAGCTGGGAGGTGGGGTGATAGTGGGTGTTGAGGATTCTGTTCAGCAACCCTGGTTAGGCCCTAAGAACAGCTCCAGGTACAACTTCACACACTCAAGTGGCTGTTCACGGTACTCGCTGTTTGGGTTTTCTCCCTGCAGGATTACGGGGCACTGAAAGACATCGTGATCAATGCGAACCCCGCCTCCCCTCCCCTGTCCCTGCTCGTGCTGCACAGGCTGCTGTGTGACCACTACAGGGTCCTATCCACCGTTCACACGCACTCTGCAGTCAAGAGTGTGCCGGAACACCTCCTCAAGTGCTTTGGCGAGCAGTCTAAAAAACAGCCACGTCACGAGTATCAGCTGGGTTTTACTCTGATTTGGAAGAATGGTAAGCAGAGGGCACTGGCTGCACTCAAAGGCTCTGGAATGAGACGGGCCCCCTGACTTCAGTGAGAGGCAGCAAGGGGCCAGGACCGTGATGTTCTTTGGCTACCTGCCGTCGGGTCAAATTCCCTGAGTCTAGGAAGCGTGTGGGGTAATTCTGGAAAAGGAGCACAGATGAACTTTGTGAGGGTAGAGAGGGATTCCTGGTTTCCAGTCCTCATCCTGCAAATTCTGAAGCACAGGGGTTGGAAAAGATGGTCTGAGGTCCCTTCTTGCTTGAAAATGGTCCTAATCAAATACCAGAAATGGTTGGTTTTTTTAACATAGAGTTTGCATTCTGTAAACATCCAGTGTAAACTTTCTTAATCATACATGTCTTGGAAACAGACAAAACGTGATGTTTGTGAAAATTCTTTCCCTTGCCACCAGTTCCCGGTGATCAGCGACTCCCTGCTCCCTTTTGTCGCTGAAGCCGTTCTTCCCAGGGACGCTCGCATTACCATACACCGTGTGCTTCTTGCCTTTCAGTGCCGAAGACTCAGATGAAGTTCAGCGTCCAAACAATGTGTCCCATCGAAGGAGAAGGGAACATTGCACGGTTCCTGTTCTCTCTGTTTGGCCAGAAGCAGGACGCTGTAACTCTAACCCTCATAGATAGCTGGGTGGATATAGCGATCTTTCAGCTCAAAGAGGGAAGCAGTAAAGAGAAAGCCGCCGTGTTCCGCTCCATGAACTCCGCTCTCGGGAAGAGCCCCTGGCTTGTTGGGAATGAACTCACCGTGGCTGATGTGGTTCTGTGGTCGGTGCTGCAGCAGGCGGGAGGCTGTGGTGGGACCGTGCCGGCCAATGTGCAGAAGTGGATGAGGGCATGCGAGAACCTGGCCCCCTTCAACACGGCCCTCAAGCTCCTCAAGTGAATTTCAGTAACTGTAAAAGGTTGACTTCGAGAACAGTGCTGTTTCATGCCTGTTGTGGGTGAAGGAACTTGTACTAAAATCAGTCTATTTCAGCCAGTTGCCTAGAATCAATAAAGGCATCATGTAATTTGTGGGTTTCGCTTTATTTAAAATTCAGCCACGTCGTGGGCAGTATACCAGGACACCTGCCAGCAACATGGCAGACATATTTTTTAGATACAAAAATGAATATCCCATTGGGGCCTTAAGGAACGTAGGTTGGTGGGGAGTTGAGTGCTGAATAAAGGGGACACCGTGGGAACAGTACAGGAGCGAAAACGAACAGTCCCACCAGAGCTACTTTGAGATGATTTAGATGATTTGGGGGCAAGAGGCACAAAGCTTAGAAAGGGCATGATTCTGAAGTGATGCCAAGCTGAAGGTGAAGAGAACAGAAAGGTTGGATGATGTACGCTGCATTGCCAAGATGAAGTTGTATCTCGGTCAACAAAGAGCCAGCTTTTGAGCCAGGGAGTGAACTCATCAGATGTCTTTCTGGTAACTAACATGCAGCTGTCACAACTGGAACAGTCCAGCGAACGTGCAGGCCTGGGCTTGGGCAGTGACGGGGTAGGGGCACATACCTGGATCTGTGCGGTAGAACATTCTAGGGGAGGGCTACGTGGTCAACAGGCAGAGTTCAAGGAGGGGGAAGTAAGGATGGTGTCTTAAGAGACTGGACAGTGATAGTAAAAATTATGAGTCTATGGGATACAAGAAGGAAAAGAGCAAAATAGGTTTAATTTTTTTTTTTTTAAGATTTGTATTTATTTAACAGAGCACAAGTAGGCAGAGCAGCAGACAGAGGTAGAGGGAGAAGCAGGCTCCCCACCGAGCAGGGAGCCTGATGTGGGGCTCGACCCCAGGACCCTGGGATCATGACCCGAGCCGAAGGCAGTCGCTTAACCGACTGAGCCACCCAGGCACCCCAAAATAGCTTTAGTTTAGAGCAGGTTTCAGTTCAAAGTGCTGGATCATAAAAGAATTCCTTAAGGAAACAGTTTGGGGGAACTTCTACAGCTTACCAGTCTTGTCCAGGCTCACTAAATAGAACTATATCATCTATACCCTAACAAAGACAAAATTTACATTCCAGTTGACTATTTCAAGAATTAGAAGTCCACATTCACATTTACAGAGTCTAATTAAGGCAGGACAGGAACACCCCCATCTTTCATGTCATCCTTGGCCCCTTTGTCCTGAGAAAGGAGACTCAGCTGCTTCTTTAGTTCTTTGATTTCTTTTTCTTGCTCCAGTATTTTCATCTGTAGGGTGAGATTAACCTGTCAAGAGAAAATGCCATTAAAATGGCCTCTTCCATCTTAAACACACAGGCCAACCTCCCTTTGCATGATACGCCTGAATCCCAGTGCCCACAGCTGGCGGAGCCGCGCCAGCGTCAGGTCGCCCGGCTCCAATAACTAACTGTCAGCACCTCAGCCCACAATGCCTGTCACCACCAGGGGCCATCATCACCTGGCTCACGGCACACACCAGGCCATGTGTGTGTTGTGTTGCCTCCATGTGTCCTGACACATGGAACTGGCCAGCAAAGATGGAAATGCAGCAAGCTAATGAAAAGTATGGGCGCTGGCAGCCGAATCAAATCGCACCACGTGGTGTCAGAGAAGAAACAGCCGGCCGCTGGGTGTTGCTCCTGCCACCGCCAGGCACAGGGGTGTGCAGCCCCAGGACGAGGCAAAGAGAACTTAGCAGAAATGAGGAAAAGGATGAAGATGTCCCAGAGAAAGTGACACCAGCAAAATTCCCATTGAAAGAACTCTCAGGGGATGGGGGGATGGGTTGGCCTGGTGATGGGTATTAAGGAGGGCACGTACTGCATAGAGCACTGGATGTTATATGCAATCAATCACGGAACACTACATCAAAAACTAACGATGTGATGTATGGTGACTAACAATAAAAAAAAACATGCTGTACACCCAAAACAAACTGAGGGTTCTAGAGGGGAGGGGATGGGGGGATAGGTTAACCCAGTGATGGGTATTAAGGAGGGCACGTACTGCATGGAGCACTGGGTGTTATACACAAACAATGAATCATGGAACACTACATCAAAAACTAACAATGTGATGTATGGTGATTAACATAATAAAATTAAAAAAAAAAAAAACTCTTGGAGATCTCTCACAACTTCAAAAGTGCAAAGGATACTTGGCCACTGATCCAAACTTAGAAAGGAATGTACAGTTCACCACGCACAGAAAAGAAGCTCACTCCGTATCCTAAGTTCTATGGTGAGATGCAGCAAGCACTGTTCAAACCACTCTTGAACATGTAAATAAAGTTTTACAACTTGCTTCATTTCCACATACCTCTGCAACTGACAGAGTTTTTAATGTTTCGAGAAACATTTGTAAAGGTCACAGGACAATCATAACTTCCCGTGGATTACTAAGATCCCCTTGCGTGGTCTGAGCTCAGCAGTCATTTTCACAGTCCTGTACGAATGGCCATGCAAACCAAAGACTGCCTGTCCACACAAGTTTTCTCTCTCTAGGGATGTGAAGGCTATTATATAAAAAATTCTACAAGAGAAATACCATAAATGCCAAATAACTACGGTCTCTAATAGCTAACTTAACCGGGAGTTAGAAAATCCCTTCCGTAGAAGAGAAATTTAATCACCACATCTGCTGTTTCCAAAGACTCAGAAAAGTACTATACCTACCTGTTTACCATTCAAGCTAGTAAAATTCACTGTTTTACCTGAAACTTAGTAAGCCTTAAACAGAAAATAAATCAACGGAACAGTTACTACAAATAGCACACTGACCGGTGTGCATCACGACGACTTCGGGTATCTGCTACACACAGGCTGGCTGCAGCCCCTCCCCCACCCCCAGACTTCTCCCTTAATAGGTCTCAGCAGCCGAGAGGGCCTGAGAATTGCATCAGGTTCCCGAGGATTTTATGCTGCTGGCCTGGAGACTATACTCTAAGGACCAGTGCATCTAATGCAATGCCACTCACACGCTGTGAAGGCAAATAATTTGGGGATCTTGTTAAACGCAGATTCTGACCTGGTATGTCTGGAGTGGAGCCCAAGACCCTATACTTCTCACAAGCCCCCAGGTAATGCTGATGGTGCTGGTCTGGGGACTACACTTGCGGTAGCAGAGCACTAGGGGATCTATGAAGATATCTTTGAATCAAGCTTTTGTTAAATCTCAGAAAGTTTCTGGAGGAACAGAATGGATGAATCGTGTTTCCAGTACTTGTAGAATGGACGTGGTACTTGACACGGTAACAACGGGTCTGGAAGGAGGGGAGGAAGGTGCTGCCCTGGGGCCCATCCCACATCACAGGACTGAAAACCAGAATCACACACTTGAATGCTGAAGGACCGCAGACGGGCTGAGGCAGTCTCTGCCACCGTCACTCCAGCTCCCCCCAAGATTTCCTGCTGTCTTTTACTCTCTGGTATGTGCCCCTTTTTACTAGTAGATATGTTGTAGTGTTTTATAAAAGGTTGTATTTCCTAGTCAGAAAGGAAAACTAGTCTTTCGACTTAGCAAGAGGAGGCTAGAAAGAAGAGCCTTTATAATTACAACTTTTAGACACTGGCCGTGGTCACCTTGCTTACTTGGACTATGAAGACTGTGCTTCTGGGAACTCTGAGAATTAGTTTAATCTGGTTTCCATAAACCTTATTCTAAGCTCAACTGGGGCTCCTGGCTGGCTCAGTCCGTGGAGCATGTGACTCTTGATCTTGGGATTCGTGAGTTTGGGTGGAGAGATTACAAAAAAAAAAGAACGAAAGAAAGAAAAAAAATGCATGTACATACATTTCCAGAATTTTGGAAAAGTTCGCTCTGCAGCAGCTGAACAGCAGAGGGTCTCTGAGATGCATTCCTTCTAGTTAAGTGCTGGATATACTTGGCTTGCACGGGACACCTCTTACTGAGGGATTCAGGTATCTGACCACTTCTTAAACCAGTTAAAACGTGTACTCGCTCCATTTCTGTTCCAAACGGCTGAAAGAGCTCTAGCAGGATCACACCCAAGCTATACATATCTGACTGGAAAAGCAGGAAAGAGGTAATTTAGTAGTGAAACACAAAGGGAGACTAACATCACCATCCTCTCAAACACAAGAAGATTTCTAAGACAGGCCAATTTACAGACCCTACGATGCAGGGCACACAGTGGGCAACTTACCCGTCGCAGAGGCAAGTTTCTGCCACCTAGAATCATGGCCCTGAGGGAGAGCTGTCTGGTACCGTCACAATCCCCATCTCTTCCAAACTAAGGGGCATCCACGGCCACAAAGGCCAGCCGGGTGACGGGCAGGGAGAACCCTTCAGCCCCATCCACAGTCACTACCATACCAGTGACCCCAGCACTCCCTGAAAATCCGGGCGTGGAGCAGCCTGAGCGAGAGACGGGAGCTCACACGTGCTGGGGCCAGCTACAGGGGTCGGCGTCCCTGCAGCCTGCTCCCCTCTGCCTCCACACACAGCGAAGCGTTCTGGTAAAGTTTAAGGAACTTCAAAAAAATCTGTGTTACTTTTCCTGAAATCGTTTTTCAAGGAAGGCCTTTAACCAGGTAGGATTTGAGGAAGAGCCATGGTCTCTTTCTGCCAGTTCACACCCAGTCACTAAAAAGCTGAATGATTCATCAAAAGGACGAAAATTTACTAGTCTGTTACTTTGAGAAAAGGATTTCATTTAACATTCCTTCAAGGAACAAAATGGGTAAGACCTTTTCAGTATCTTCACTCTACTTCAAAGGGAGTCAAGTGCCACACTTACTTGTAGCATTAGTTATCATGTGTTTACGAAAACAGAAGACAGGCTGAAACAGGCTTCTATGAATTCTAGCTTCCTGATGTGAACTGTGACATTTTATTTTTTTTAATAAATAAATCTTTATATATTTTTTTAAAGATTTTATTATTTGACAGAGAGAGACACAGCGAGAGAGGGAACACAAACAGGGGGAGTGGGAGAGGGAGAAGCAGGCTGCCTTCCCACCGAGCAGGGAGCCCGATGTGGGACTCGATCCTAGGACCCTGGGATCATGACCTGAGCCGAAGACAGACACTTAACGACTGAGCCACCCAGGCGCCCGAACTGTGACATTTTAAAAGGAAAGCTCATTTCAAAAATAATTTAGGACACCCATGGATTTAGAAGTGGTAAAGTAGGGGCGTCTGGGTGACTCAGCTGGTTAAGCGACTGCCTTCCACTCAGGTCATGATCCTGGAGTCCTGAAATCAAGTCCCACATCAGGCTCCCTGCTCGGCGGAGAGTCTGCTTCTCCCTCTAACCCTCACCCCTCTCATGCTCGCTCTCAAATAAATAAAATCTTAAAAAAAAAAAAAAAAAAAGGTGTTAAAATAGCCTGAAAATCGGTGTAGTCAGATTTAGGTAAAAAGTGAGGTTTCCTGTTAATGGCAGTTTCATGTAACAGACAACCGACCCTACTCTGTTACCTCCAAAAACACCAACACGAGAACTTCCACTGCATTTACTATGCTTTTTGTTACTTAGGACAGCAGAGCAAGTCCAGCAAAAAGGGGAAAAGCAGCAAATACTACCTTGGCATCATACTCGGATCCTTCCAACTGCTCAGGAGAAGCGTACAGGCAAGTACCCACTCTGGACGTGTGTGTGCGTGTCCCTGTAATGTGAAAAGCCAAATATGAAACACTGCAGGGTTCCCACTGTCCACACGAAAGAACACGGGCTCTGAGCAGGGTACTGTGGGGACGATGGTTGCTTTTTGTCTTTATCTTTCCTTTGCGATTACATTAAGTCTTTATGAGTCTCTTTAAATATTGACAAGTTCAATCATGTTTTTGTCTTAACGCCAAAAGAGCAAAGAAAAGAAAAGAACCAGAATAAACTTACTCTTCCCGTCTCTATCGATCCAGTCTGTGTTCTTCTGTATGATATCCGTGCAGGCCAGACCAAAGTCTCCTATTTTTACTTGCTGATCAGAGCCATGAAGAAAAATATTTCTGGGCTGTAAACAAACAAGAACAACTCCTCGGTGTTCTTAAAACAGTAAACATGTGTAGATGTTAATTAAGAGATTTCAACTCGGGGGCGCCTGGGTGGCTCAGGCGTTAAGCGTCTTGCCTTCGGCTCAGGTCATGATCCCAGGGTCCTGGGATTGAGCCCCGCATCAGGCTCCCTGCTCAGCGGAAAGCCTTCTTCTCCCTCTGCCTCTGCCTGCCGTTCCCCCAGCTTGTGCTCTCTCACTCTGTGTCAAATAAATAAACAAAATCTTTAAAAATAATAATAGGGGCGCTTGGGTGGCTCAGTCGTTAAGCGTCTGCCTTCAGCTCAGTCATGGTCCCAGAGTCCTGGGATCGAGCCCCACGTCGGGCTCCCCGCTCTGCGGGAAGCCTGCTTCTCCCTCTCCCACTCCCCCTGCTTGTGTTCCCTCTCTTGCTGTGTCTCTCTCTGTCAAATAAATAAATAAAATCTTTGGGGAAAAAAAAAGAGTTTTCAACTCAGGAGCAAGTAGCCCCTCAAAAATTAAAAATCAGAGAAGAGGTTCTAAAACTTGGCTGAACATCAGAACCAGCAGGGGAGCTCCAAGTCCTTCCACAGACCAAGAGAGTCAGAATTCTTGGGGGTGGACACTGGCAGCAGTGTTATGTAAAGGTCCCCACGTTACTCCAAGTTTGAGAACCACTACCTCTGGCAGAGCACACCTTGTACACAAGTGCTCTTCGGCCCTGACTGGGCGTCAGAATCCCCTGAGAAGCTTGGAAAAACTACTGTCCTCTCCAACAAGTCAAAGACTGATTTTTTTTTTTTAAATGAGAAAACTTTGATATTTTTTAAAAGCTCCTAGATGATTCTTTTATGTTCGCCAGGGTTAGGGGCAATTAGGTCACCCTATGAAAGGCATGCATTCAGCACCAATTTAAGCAACCGGGGCAGACCCCAAACTTCTCCTGATGGAACTAATCCTGTGCCACCAAAAACGTGCACCCATACTGCAGGGAGGGGGATTTCCACTCAAAACGAAAATATATTTAGGTTAAAAGTTGGGTTTTCTTACTTTAAATGTAATAATTTTAATTTTTTATTTTCATGTATAAATTGTTTTAGCTTTGTTTTTTTTTAAATAGCTGAATGGAAGAGAACACAGAAATAATCTTATGTGTAAGATGATAATTTGGGTACGTTTTTGTGATTGAGTCAAGTCTCAAAAAGTGTACTTCAAGGGGTGCCTGGGTGGCTCAGTCGGTTAAGCATCTGCCTTCGGCTCAGGTCATGATCTCAGGGTCCTGGGATTAAGTCCCGCTTCGGGCTCCCTGCTCAGCTGAGAGCCTGCTTCTCTACCACCCCTCCCCCGCCGCCCCTCCACTGGCTCGTGTTCTCTCTTTAATAAGTAAGTAAAATCTTAAAACAAAAACAACAGCAACAAAAAAAACCTGCCTCTATTTGACACTGTATGACCTGGGAACAAAGCCTGAAGAAGTTGGCTCTGAGATATAAATGAATCGTGTTCACAGATACGATTCTCAACAGTTCTAGAACGGTTCTAGAACGGAACTGAAGGGATCATAATGAGACTGAAATGGACCAATTCTGTCTCAAGTGGCCCCTGCACTTCCAAGTCCCCACTCTTAAGTTTTGCTCATGGGAAACATAACCAAGAGAGGCAGCAGGGAGCTGGTCGCTGACAGTGCCAACACCCTGGAAGAAGGCCCAGCTGCTGCCCTCCACACCAGACTCTACGAGGCCATCATGAGGGAGGACTGCGTGGTGATCCAGGTGCTCCTGAGAAGCCACCCCGTCAATCAGCCCATGACCATTCTGGCCAACTCCACCAGCTACCGACTACTTCTGAACCAGGTACCCTCCCCTCTGCTCTGTCACTTGTAGGGAAAAGACGCCATGCTTCGGAAGGCCCACCACCTAGCTGCTGTGAACTCATTAAACCTCCCCATGGTCCCCACCACCCCCACGGTGGGACACTTCAACTCCAGCACCCTGCGCGCCTCCCAACTGCCCCACGTACGCTGACGTGCGGAAAGAACCCGTTTGGCTGGTGGAACATTAATGTCGTCCTCTCAAATATACCAATGGTGATTACATCTGTGTGAAGGAATTATTTTTCCTTTTTGCATATGCTTTTTCATTTTCTAAATTTTTATACAATGATTATTACCTTTAATTTTTTTCCCCAAAAGTCACTGTCTCCTTTACTCCGCCTTCTTCCCTTACCTGGCAGTCATGCCGTAAAAAGTCACTACTTATTAGAGATGTATTTTAAGAACCAGAATAAACAGCTCTGCTCATCATGGAAGACACGCTGCATTATCTTTGAAACCCTGGAAATTCAGGTTTTACTACTGATACTCTGACTTTGGCAGTCTTAAAAAACACAAAACCTACTTGTCAATCACCCTGTGGGTTAATTTAAGGCTAAGTGACTTAGTAGCAATTACCATTACTTTTACACTATGAACTCTCCACAAGAATCAACTTGCAAAGTTTTACGTAAGTTATTTCTGTTGCATTGGTAAATCTGCATTTATGTTAAACACAATTTTATATGACTCTCACTGGTTTGGGGTCTTTTAAAACAGTCAAAAAGAAAATTTCAATGCACATACCAGAAAAATACTGAACTGAGATACTAAGTACACTTATTTCCTCTGACACAGCAGGCTGACACTGCACAGGCCTACTTGTAACGTAGTCTGCTTTCTCCCGCAAAGCAGATGCAGTCCATCATCCCCATTCATCTGGCTGCCGAATACCGCAAGGCGCAAAGTTTGCTTTGTTTGTTAGAACACGGTGCCGACCCAGAAGTCAGGTAAGTTAACTCAACAGCAATCAGTTCTCAGTGAGGATACGCATGATTTAGATGTTACTCTCCCCGGTAATGTCTGGACTCACCCATTCTTCGGGGGTAGGGACTACAAAATACCACGACCATGTCTTGAATGAACCAATTTCTTTACTGACTAGATGAGATACTTGGAAAAACTGGCAGTAATGCAGAAACACAAACCAGTCAGCCCAATTCAAGCATCCTGAGAATTAAGCGCTCAGCAATGATGCTGCAGAAAATGCACGAAGTGTTGGTCACAGCCCTCAGGGAGCTTAAAACCCTCAGTTAGGCATGGAAAATAAGTATATAGAAATAGACAATGGATTTTCTTTTTATTACCCATCATTAGAAAGTATACTTCATGAAAGAGTAGTTACCTCGTTCACCAACACGTCTTCACCACCTAAACTGATGCCTGGTACTAAGTGCCAATAAATAGGATCTAATGAATGGAAGAATCACATGGTGTAAAAACAAAATGACTTCTTGCCCCCATAACTTTAACAGAAAGTAAAGCCCCAAATTCTCAGCATGCTCCAGAAGAGCCCCCTGGCCTGTCTGGCTAGAACCCTACCCCCGCATGGCCCTGCCCAGCTCTGCAGACTCTCTCCCAGTCCTCCACAACTGGACATCACCGACGCAACCCCCCTCCTCCACAGGGGCTCCTCCGTACACCCTCTAGGGTGGTCATACCTCTTAGAATTTTGCCTATTTGCAATACTGATCTAGTTACTTAAATGTTTTGTGTCTTTCATGCTAGACTGTCGAGCCCTGCAAAAGCAGGGCCTCCGTGCTGTTTACCATTTCCCTAGCATGGGGCCTTACGCTAAATAAATATACATAAACTGAAAATCATTTTCAAATTTCAGTGGAACAGTCAGATGTTTGTAATAAACCCTTTTCTCTGCCAAAATAAAGGAATTTTGGAAGCATCCCTGAGAGATTTCAGTAGAGAAGCACATGAGGGCCATTGTAAAACCCTCACAGCACCTGAGTCCCCCCCCCACCAAAATGCTGTGATATCCCCAGAAACTAATGCAGATTTTCAAACACTTCAAAGAAGTAGGCAAGGGGAATCACTTTCAATAAACATTGCCTTCTTAAGTACTAATTCTCTGTGTAGAACCATTTCCACCGGGAATATAGTGTAATCTGCGATCAATAACTATTCTAGGGACGCAAGAGGCCTCACCACGCTCCACCTGATGCTCCTGCACTGGCCAATCACTTCTACCACGTGGACAAAACCGGGGAACAGAATCCAAAGGATCCTGACAGACATTCAGAGTAACGCTGTGATGTGTCTCCGTATTTTGTGCGAACATGGAGCTCAGGTCAACGCTCGAGTGGACAACAGCAACAAACAGTCACCCCTCCACCTGGCCATAACCTACGGGACCTATCCGGTTCTCTCCATTTTAGCCCAAAATGGTGCCCACGTCAATGCCATTAACGAATCCAGCATGACACCCCTTCACATGGCTGCTGACATACTGAATAAGGAGATGATGGAAACGCTGATTGCCTGTGGCGCAAACGTTAACTGCGCCGTCGCCTCCACCGGGAACACAGCCCTTAAGCTGGCGGTGTGCACCGCATCGAGCAAAGCAGGCCGGCTGCTGGAGGCAGGCGTGAGCTGCATCCGTTTGCTGCTAATTCACGGAGCCAAAGTAAATGCCCGGGACCATGAAGGTCAAACAGCTATCCATGAGGCATGTTTTGGAGGCAGAGAGGCAATCATCAACCTCCTGCTTGAATCTGAAGCAAACGTTAACATACTAACAAGAAGCGGGGAGTCTCCGATATACATGTACCTCCAGCGCAGTTCCAACATAAGGGACACGGGGCTTCTTGCCAGACTCCTTTATCGCTCTTATCCTCTGAGACTGACCAATAACCAAGGAGTTCTACCTGCAGGAATCATGCTACCAGAATTCCACCTCTTAAGGGAAACCCTAATAAAGTTATCTCAAAAACCCTTATCCCTAGAAGACATCTGTAAAAGAAACATCAGAAATATTTATGGTGAGAAATACAAACAACACTTAAAGCAACTTCTCCCAGTGAAGATCTGGAACTCTCTATACAGTCATTATGACTTAGCTTACCTCTTGAAATAGGACCTCAAAGTTTCACCAGCCATAGAATTTCAGTAACACACCACATTTTCTGGCTAGACTCGTATCCAGAAAACACTTACCTTATCACGTTGTACATCCCAGATGTACAAACTGGTTCTTAAACTTTTTTCAAAAAATAAAATGATTTGCACATTAACTTTTCGTTCCCAAATATTCCTTTAAAGACATTTTTCACAACTTAATTTCTTTGTTCAAAAAGTAAGCAAATTAAAACTCTTCTGCCAGGGCGCCTGGGTGGCTCAGTTGTTAAGCATCTGCCTTCGGCTCAGGTCATGGTCCCAGGGGTCCTGGGATCGAGTCCCACATCAGGCTCCCTGCTCCCCAGGAAGCCTGCTCTCCCTCTCCCACTCCCCCTGCTTGTGTTCTGCTCTTGCTATCTCTCTCTCTGTCAAATAAATAAATAAAATCTTAAAAAAAAATTGTTTAAAAAAAAAAAAAAACTCTTCTGCCAAAGAAGTAAATCTATTTTCTCTCTTTGATAGTCTTTTGTGGATAAGAACTGGAATAATCATAGATTTTTTTAAACAGCAGAAAAAAATGTCCCATGTTAAATTTCCTTTAAGTTACATAATTGTAGAAACAGATTTTACCTCTAAGGCTACAATAACATATGAGGATTTTTGTCAGCATTAAATACATTTAGCCTCATCTATTATATGAGTAACTCATAGCACACTCACTACCTGAAAAACACTACTACTCCTCCATAGAGAATTTTCAAATGCCCAAAGATCACTGCCTTTAAATTCAATCTAGGGGGCGCCTGGGTGGCTCAGTTGGTTAAGCAACTGCCTTCGGCTCAGGTCATGATCCTGGAGTCCCGGGATTGAGTCCCGCATCAGGCTCCCTGCTCAGCAGGGAGTCTGCTTCTCCCTCTGACCCTCTTCCCTCTCGTGCTCTCTCTCAAATAAAATTTAAAAAATAAATAAATAAATAAAAATAAATTCAATCTAGGGGGGGCGCCTGGGTGGCTCAGTCATTGGGCGTCTGCCTTCGGCTCAGGTCATGATCCCAGGGTCCTGGGATCGAGCCCCGCATCAGGCTCCCTGCTCAGCGGGGAGTCAGCTTCTCCCTCTCCCACTCCCCCTGCTTGTGTTCCCTTTCTCGCTGTCTCTCTCTCTGTCAAATAAATAAAAATCTTAAAAATAAAATAAAATAAATTCAATCTAGGGGCGCCTGGGTGGCTCAGTTGGTGAAGTGTCTGCCTTCAGCTCAGGTCATGATCCCAGGGTCCTGGGATCGAGCCCCGCATCGGGTTCCTTGCTCAGCAGTGAGCCTGCTGCTCCCCGCTTGTGCTCTCTCTCTGACAAATAAAATCTTTAAAAAAATAAAATAAGTTCAATCTAAACTTCTGGACTCATGGGATGATGACTTATATAAAAATAATGATAACCCCCACCCTAAGTAAATGAAAGAGGATACGTAATTTCATTTAATTCAGTGAACCAACACCACGACCTCCATGATACAAAGCACTTACCTTCAGATCTCTGTGTACAATTCCCATGTTATGTATGTAAAATACACCTTCCACCAATTCTTGAAAAATTTTTGTTGCAACACTGGCCATGACATAAGGACCTTGAAGGGAAAAAGGAAGTTTTATTTCTCTTTTTACTCATTACATAAACATCTAAATGTTACACAGTTCCAAATACATTAACCTAATTCAGATTTTCAACAAAGTCAACACACCTAAATGGTTTAAAATAAGCAGGAAGGGCCCCTCAGCTTGCAAAGAAACCATCACAAACTTAGTGCCCTAGTAAATGGACTTGGTGTCACTAATTTCACCCAGAACCCCTGTATTACTTTGTAAACCATTCTCAGGCATAAAATGGCTGAATTAAACTAGGTTTAAATCTCCTTCAACCCCTGACACTCTGGGGTTTAACACTGATAAATCTGGTGTCCTAAGCCTACTGTGGATTAAAGACCTTGTTACAAATAATGCAATCAGAAAAAAGATAAACTATGTTAGCTCAAGGAGTAAGCTCCCATTATATGGAAGATTTGGAATGCTGTATTTTCCAAAAATGACTGACAAATGAAAACAAAGTAATGGGAAAACAAGTAAATGGTTTAATTCATCTATTAATATGATGATATAATGACTGACTTTAGGGGTGGGAAAGTTTGGTAGGAACTAAAACAAATTGCTAAAGCAAAAAATCCTCGTTTTCCAGCTAAGTAAATTTGGTGATATCATAATAAAAACTTAATAGCTCTTGTCTCCTCAGCCATTTTACACCACAAATACATAACACAGAAATACAACGTGCTCCCTTTCCTCCTGGATGAGCCTACCTTACCTTGATATGCAGCTCACCTAAGCCACACTCTCCTTCTGCACCACCCAGCATGTAACTCAGGGATCTCAAGTCCTCAGGACTTGAGAAGACAGGAAACTCTGCGTGTCTGTGTGCATAAACACAACGGTCCCCCTTACAAGGGCCGCCGCTACCACGCCCCTCACGCTGGAGCAACAGCCTCTTGTCTACAGATGGAGGGCTTTGGGACTCTCACAGCCATTCAGATCAATTCCCTTCCTCTGGTCTGTCTGTAACAGGTTCTCATTTTAACCCACCTAACACATCCAAACAGCAGGCCCCTGTACACGGGCCCGATCAGGTGAGAACACCTTCTGTTCCCTCAGCAACGCATCCTTTGCACAGAGTGCTTCAATCCTCACACCCTATCAAATGGGATGATCCACATTTCACAGCGGAGGAAAGAGGCTGAGAGCAGTTACCAGACTTGCCCCAACACCGCCAGTGAGTGCTAGAGCTAGGATTCAAACCTGGGTCTACCACGTATGGATTGTTGGGGATGAGTGATATAAAACTATACTTGAGGGACGCCTGGGTGGCTCAGTCATTAAGCGTCTGCCTTCGGCTCAGGTCATGGTCCCAGGGTCCTGGGATCGAGCCCCGCATCAGGCTCCATGCTCCGCGGGAAGCCCTGCTTCTCCCTCTCCCACTCCCCCTGCTTGTGTTTCCTCTCGCTGTGTCTCTGTCAAATAAATAAATAAAATCTTAAAAAAAAAATTAAAAAACTATACTCGAGGGCGCCTGGGTGGCTCAGTTGGTTAAGCGACTGCCTTCGGCTCAGGTCATGATCCTGGAGTCCCGGGATCGAGTCCCACATCGGGCTCCCTGCTCAGCGGGGAGTCTGCTTCTCCCTCTGACCCTCTTCCCTCTCGTGCTGTCTCTCATTCTCTCTCTCTCAAATAAATAAATAAAATCTTTAAAAAAATAAACAGAAGTCTTGCTTTCTTTAAAAAAAAAAAAACTATACTCGATAGGAAGGTACACAGCCCGTGGGGAACACTACCAAGTTAAACTTTATTTTAAAATACTTTTCAAAGAAAAATATGCGGGGCGCCTGGGTGGCTCAGATGGTTAAGTGTCTGCCTTCGGCTCAGGTCATGATCCCAGGGTCCTGGGATCGAGCCCCGCATCGGGCTCCCTGCTCCGCGGGAAGCCTGCTTCTCCCTCTCCCACTCCCCCTGCTTGTGTTCCCTCTCTCGCTGTCTCTCTCTCTGTCAAATAAATAAATAAAATCTTTTAAAAAAATAAATAAATAAAATTTAAAAAATTTAAAAAATTTAAAAAAAAGAAAAATATGCACAATGATAGCAGTGATCTCCGTATCTTGCCCTCCCTGTTTTCATAGGCTTATCGTCCTGGACGGTGGAGATCGGAGTTACCCAACCCATCATGAGGGATTCATTACTTACTTTCCAAATGGAAGTTTAAAGATCAACAACTGCATACAGGGCCTTAATAAGCCATTCTTCTTTTTACAGAGACATCTGCACCTAGCACTATGATGCTCACACAGCAGAGAATACAACTGTACAGGACACTAAAAATACCCACTCATTACTTGCCACGACTGAACTAAGCAAAGTCTGGTTATGTCCTGATTACACAGTAAACCAGAGAAGCAGGGAGCGTCGCAGAGATACTTGAGTGCTTGAGGGAAGCATTCTGTTTCTGCCTCCCTTGGAAGCTAATCTAAGATCCTGGGTGTGTTAAATGACCTATATTTTAGACTAAATAAAGGGTTAGAGTGTCAATAGGCGTGAACAGCAAAAGATTAATAATTAATATTTAGCTGGGTCTTTACTTAAAATCAGGTCAATTGCATCCCCAGTTTTGATCACTTAATACAGTGATTTTCAACTTTGGCTACACATATCAACAAGAGAATTTCCAAAAAAATATCAAAGGCCAAGCCCTATCCCATATCATATAAAAATTGCTGGTGCAGGGCGCCTGGGTGGCTCAGTCGTTGGGCGTCTGCCTTCGGCCCGGGTCATGGTCCCAGGGTCCTGGGATCGAGTCCCACATCAGGCTCCCTGCTCAGCAGGAGGCCTGCTTCTCCCTCTCCTACTCCCCCTGCTTGTGTTCCTGCTCTTGCTATGTCTCTCTCTGTCAAATAAATAAAATCTTTAAAAAAAAAAAATTGCTGGTGCAGTCCCTGACAACACCCTTTAAAAAAAAAGAAAGACTTTACTTGTTGGAACAATCTTAGATCTACAGAGAAACGGAGACCATAATACAGTTCCCACTTACCCGCCACCCAGTTTCCCATCATTAACACCCACACTGGTAGGGTACATCTGTCACAGTTAATGCACCAAGACTGATACAAGTCCACAATTTATTCACATTTCCCCCAGTTTTTATCTAACGTCCTTTCTCTGTTCTAGGGCTCCATCCAGGATACCCACATTACATTTAATGGTCAGGTCTTGTGAGGCCCCTCCAGTCTGTGACAGTTCCTCACTTTTCCTGTTTACAAGGACCTTGACAGTTTTGGAAAGTACTGGTCAGGTATTTCATAGAATGTACCTACGCCGGGATTTGTCTAAAGTTTTCTTACAATTAGACTGGCATTAAGGGTTCTGGGGAGAAAGACCCCAGACACAATGCCCTTCTCATCACACCTTCTCAAGGTCACACTATGAACAGTTTTCACTGCTGGTGCTGACCTTGAACACCAGCCACAGTCACCTCAGCCAAAGTCATGGTGGTCGGCTTTCTCCACCTGCTTTTCTCTTACTCTGTCTTATCAACATCTTTTTTAAAGCTCCCCAGGTGATTCAATTATGTGGCACAAGATGAGAACTAGTATTACAATAATTTTAAAAATTATTAACCTAACAGAGTCTTTCCTGCAGAAGGAAGGGGATCTGAATCTTGAGAGAGACAAACTTTTCACCACCTACCCTTCTGTAAGGGTTTCTTCAAAGGTATCTTTTTGTAAGAGTATCACGTCAGGTTTAAAAAATAAAATATTTAAATTTCTTCCTAAAAAAATTCTAAAAGACCTTTTATGCCCAAAATCAACCTAAATTCTAGCACATTACTGCTTAGGAATCCACAAACTATGTCTTTATCTCAGAGAAAATGAACTTCCAAATACCTATATGTTCTTGAAAATGTTGAAATAAACACAATTGTTTCGAAAAGGTGATTTTTTTCCTGAGTCTAAAGCACCTGCAGGTAGTTCCTACATCGGAAGATCCGCCGGTGTCGCCATTTCCTAGCCCAGTGTTCCAAGATCCACCTGTTACTCACATGCAGATTCGTCCACATACTCCCGGCCCCGCTGGTTTCTCTCAACTATCCAGTCCCACAGCGAGAGCTCGCACAGCTGCATCTGGATGTGCAGCATCAGGTGGTACTGCACCTGGGGGACAAGACGGCTGGCTCCCACCTGGGCACAACTTGCTCACATTATTCATTCAGTCAATAGGTATCACTTGCCTCCGCTAGGCCAAGCAGGGGGCTACATGCTCAGGAAAGAGAGGACAGACACACATCCGCCCAAGAAGCCCAAAGTCTCGTGAAGGAGACAGAGGAAGAAAGGAATGCCTCAAACGGTGCGTCAGAATGCAAGCGAGCAGGGGGAGGCCTGGGCTGCAGAGCGGCACAAGCTCCCGAAGGTGACACTGAGGCCCTGGCGCGGAAACGATCAGGTCTGCTCCCCACATGCAGTTTCTAAAGCTCAGACACAGCGTCAGAGAATGGCTGGGGACCACTCTACTGCTCTCTGAGCACCTCAAAGTAGATGCGCATTTTGGAGGCCTCGCTGTGTCCATAAATAATTTGTTCAAGGAAAAGGCAAGCAAAGTTTAAGCTCACGACAGCGCATGCGTTTCGGCACTAAGGAAAGTCCCAAATGTAGTGTGGAGAAATGGAATGGTTCTGATGAAAAGTCCCTCAAATTCCACTCCTGTGTATTCAGGTGACTCTGTTCAAAGTTTTGTGTCTCATAAAAAGCACATGCACGGAGCCACATATTCCTGGGCAACAAGAATTAATTCTGCATGCGCATATACAGATGGCATATCCGGTTCTGTAATGCCAGTGTACCAGATTATACAGAGACCCTGTTAGCATTCAAGTCCTTTTTAACACTAAGACTCCACACCGGGTAGAGCATGTGGCATATGGATGTGACCCTCAATGAGAGTGTCCTGAAAACAGACCTGATCTCTCCTCTCCTCAAGTCACGTTCCAAAATAGAGGTCTTCATGCATAAATGTATTTGCATAGCATGATAAGAACACACAACAGAAACGGTGTGAACAGTGCTTCCAACTCCAGGGGCACAAATGAGAAGAAACAGAAGTGGCCAGAAAAGGATTAGCAGGCGTTAACTAAGCAAAGGATAGAAGACCCAACACAAGGGCCACAGGCCAGGGAGACAGGCCAGGGAGACATGGCGGGGAGAGGCTGACAAAGACAGATGTGGGCGGGGAGGAGCCAAGGTGCACAGTCAGCTTGGAAGGGAGGCCACATCTAGTCATGGGTCCTCCACACTATGACTATGGGTGAGCATCAAATCATCAGTAGGTTCTGGAAAAGTGAACTACCTCTGTCTGCCCCGACAAACTTAAGTTTTCAGAAGATTCCCCGGTGGATGTGAAATTCTCTTCTAAGTCAGAATGATGCCTAAGTGGCAGCTGATGTTCAACAATCGATCTGGAAGGCAAATCAGCCAAACCATTTCCTTGGAGCAAACTGGATGATTCAAATTCACAGGCGGTTCTTGTGATTAAATTGGTGCTACAGTTCACCAATCTGTTATTCTGATTGTCAATGCCAGATTCTCCTAAAGACTTTTCTTTTTCTGAGGTGAACTCGGCAAAGATAATGGATGAGCTGTTACTTTCATCATTTTTAACATGCTGATTTCTGGAGGGAAAAAAAAAAAAACAGTAAAGATAAATATCAATGTAAAAAAAAAGATCAAGAGTAACTCAGCTGTCCCTTCACACCTACATAAATCTCACTGGTAAACTCTGGAAGCACAAGCACATGGCATCAGATCTCTCTAGCAGCAACATTTATTGAAAACACTGGCAGGAACTAGCTGAGAGGAAGAAGCCATTTAGCACTTTGTAATGAAAATGAGCAAAAAGACAAAGACAACTTGGTGTAGGTGACAGGTTACATCTAACGTGTCAAAGTACACACCCCTCCACATACCTGTCATCCTCCTCGTCTGAGATCACTTCCAGAGATGGCAGCTGAATAGAAATTCTATCTGCAAAACAAAACAAACAAAAACCCATCTTCAAGCAGCCTAGCTTTCTAATTTATGGTCGAAGACAGAGCTAAAATAACACCAAATGAGACCACAAGTCTAAAAATGTCAATACTTTCTAGGAAAATACGATACAACAAGCTTATTCAAATGCCTGGCACATTTTAGGAACTATAAAAACAGAGCTGTTCAACTACGCTGGGGGGAGGCAAACTTTCTGTAGAGGGCCGGGAGTAAGTGCTGTATGATTTACAGGCCTTCCAGGACTCAGTGCAGCTACTCGGTTCAGCTGTTGCAGTGCAAAATCAGCCACAGACAACACACGGATGAATGAGCCTGGGTCCTAACATACCTTGCTCATTGACATGAAATTTGAATATCCTATAACTTTCACAAAGTATTCTTCTTTTGATTCCTTTTAAACTATTTAAACATGTAAGAAAACACTCTCAGCTCTCAGGAGGCAACGAAGCAGGGGCAGGCCGGGTTCGGCCCACGGGTCGCAGTTTGCCAACCGGACAGCCATACCATCTGTAACGGCTTACCTTGTGTTTGGGCCACGTGAACATGCTCTATCCAAGCAGTGTGATAGCCTACGATATTAGGATGCTGAAGGCCTGCTAGCACCTTCACCTCCCGCAGGACCTAAAGAGGAAACGCACTTTGATCTGGCTTTCACTAACTTGTTCAATGTGCATGGCATCAAATACTACTTCTTCCAGAACAAAACAATAAAAACCCAACCAAACAAGGAGTCTAAACTATGTTAAAATAACCAGACTATTTCTGAGAGACAAATGGAATTGTTACAGCAACAAAGTAACTTACACATATCTAGCGCTTCATACTTGCCATAGCCCATTTATGTTCATTCTCTCGTTTCATTCCTCCCAGTAAGTCCAGGGCTTGCTTCAGCAGCACATATACTACTAGTAAGTCCAGTCCTGCTGTCACCACTATGTCAAGGACAGGAGACCCAAGTGGCTTAGAGGGGGGCGCCTGGGTGGCTCAGTCAGTTAAGTGTCCAACTCTTGGATTTCAGCTCAGGTCATGAGCTCAAGGTTGTGAGATCGAGCCCCGCACTGGGCTCCATGCTGAGCGTGGAGCCTGCTTGGGATTCTCTCTCCCGCTCCCTCTGCCCCTCTCTGCCATTTACACTCTCACTCTCTCTTGCTCTCCCAAAAAAAACTTTTTTTAAATAAAAAATTAAAAATTAAGTCAAATAAAAATTTGGTTTTGATGTTTTTTATGTAACCCACTTTTAATAAACTTAGCAATCCACGACACCTAGTATTTGCCAAATACACACACACATAACTCTTTCAAAAGGATCTAAATACCCCATTATTCAAAGTAAATACACTTTAAAAAAGCATACCTTCATACAATCTGTTTTAGTTGCACCATTAATCAGGATTTTTTTAATTGCATAATACTGACCATCTAATTTATTCCTGACCTAAAAAGCAGAGGAAAAGAGAAAGCATATTGTGCCATTAAATTCAATTGAATAGAGCAAGTTATTCTAACCTGAGTTTAAGATACAAACTAGCTAAAGAGATAAAATTAAGCGAAAGACAAGTGTCTTTACTATGTTCAGGAAAGTCAGCTACAGTTAGCTAGACTAGAAGCTTCCAAACTGCACTGAGACTCCCAACTCCTATAGACTCTAGGTCTGAAAAATGGAAATGTCAGCAAAAGAAGTACGTGAGGCCCAAAATACAAAAGCACAGCTTTCTCCCATGATACATTTTTAAGTAAATTAATGTGGTTTCCAGAATCTGCCTAAACCACCAACATGGTTAGGAAAAAGTTAAAACCTGCCCACTTCCCTATAAATGACAAATCTTAGGGAAAAGTAAGCACACATGATTTCTAGGAACTTCCCCTGGAGCACTTTAAATAATAATCATGAGAACAACTTCTCAAAACACATTTACTCAGAGTAGGAGGTCAAAACGGATTTGTGGAAAACAACCTTGTACACTCTTCCGTATCCACCTTTTCCTAAGATGGCAAGCTCTTCAAATTCATTTAGGTAACGTGAAGTCTGTGCTTCAAAGGCTATTTCCCTGGACCTAAAAGTGAAATACAAACAACCAAACAATATTAAAACATGAAAGAACCAGGTGCCCAGGATATTTCACATTCGCTGTAACACTAACCTGCCAAACCTTACTGATCACTAAATTATGATGCTTTGAAAAGATGAGCCAAAACAAAATTTTTCATTCTCTAGGAAGAAAATGATTTGCTAAGCAAATCAACATGTAATAAAGATAGCAAGGGGACAAAACAGAGTTAGCAAAGGGATCGTTAATCAAGTACGTTACCAGTAATTAGTATTCCAATTAGAAATTATCAATGTTTTAAAGCAGGAATCCTAAGGATGACAAACAGGCAACAGTTGATTAGCTGAGCTCAGTAATAAATTTACTTATATTTCTTAATGAAAAATTTCTTAATGAGTTATAAATTTTAAACTAGCATTTCTCACATATAGCCAAAATTCAGTGTTGTTCCCCTGACAGACTATCAGTGCTCTGAATTAAGGGTGGGGCTTATGGAATCCACACAGAAGGGGGGGGGGGCATAGGGGAATGAGAAGTAAAGCAAATCTTGGAGCAGTCATTAATTTCTGAGAATAAAGCTTTTTTTTCATAAAGTACCCTAACTACATTATTTTTAACTCCAAAACTAATTTCTGATTAATTCAGAATCAGCTCTTAACCTTAATTTCTTTCGGACATTTTACTCTTTGCACAATCACGGAAGTATCTGACACATACCTGATCTTCTGGATATGAGAATTATCCTCACAAGGATCCTAAAATCAGAAAACTACTTTTAAAAGCTTTTTAGGCAAATTTCATGAAATGAGGACTCTAACAAAATTCAATGTCACATTAATAGTCCCAAATGTTCAAACAATATTTAAAAAAAGAAAAACATTCTGGCTATTTCTGAAAAATATCACGAAGGGGTTTACAATTGAAAACATTTGTCTTAACCAAAAGATCACTACTCTAAAAAAGCTATATTCTTGCCATCCACTGATAAGACGAAGAACTTACCAAGGGGCTCTACCAGCAAGTAATTCTGACTTCACCTTCAAGACAGATGCAGAAATGGACCACTTCTCATCTCCACTGCTACCACCCACTCCAAGCTCCTATCACCTCTTGCCTGTTTGACCACCTGCCCCCCTGCTTCTGCCTTTGCCTCCCTGCATCTATTCTCAACAGCGCAGCTGCGGTGGTCCATTAAAATGTAAGTCAGATCAAGTCACTCCTGGGCTCAAAATCCTATAAAGTTTCCTACTTTACTCTCTGAGTAAAAAACCAAAGACGTGGGCGCCTGGGTGGCTCAGATGTTCAGCGTCTGCCTTCGGCTCAGGTCATAGTCCCAGGGTCCTGGGATCGAGCCCCGCATCGGGCTCCCTGTTCCGTGGGAGGCCTGCTTCTCCCTCTCCCACTCCCCCTGCTTGTGTTCCCTCTCTGGCTGTGTCTCTCTCTGTCAAATAAATAAATAAAATCTTTAAAAACAAAAACAAAAAAAACCCAAAGACATTAAAATGGTCTCAAGACCCTCCTCCATCTGTCCATCCGCTGCCCTCCTAGCCCTACCTTTACCATATTGTCCCCCTGCTTACTCTACTCCAGCCACATGGCTGCCAGTCAAGCTTCCCAAACACACCAACCACACTGCAGCCTCGGGAATGACTGATCCTCTGCCCGAAGGCTCTTTCCTCCAGATAGGTGCATGTCTCGTATTCTCAACTGCAGCTACTAACTTCAGTAACTGACCACCTTGTATATAACCCACACATTTTCTAAGCCCCTTCACTGCTTTATATTTCTCCTTAACCCTTACCACCATGTATGTAACACCCCCTTTATTTTTATGTATTTTTATTATGTTTCTATTGCTGACTGCCCCCTCATCAGAACATAAGCTCAAAAAAAAAAAAAAAGCCCCAATGAGGGCAGGTGTTTTTGTCTTTTGTCTGTTTCATTTGCTGCTTGAATCCCAGCTCCTACAAGCCTAACACATGGTAAATACTTATTGAATAAATCAAGGTTAACATTTTTATAAACCTATTATAACCAGGACTTCATAATGCTTTAAAATACAGTTCTGAAATTAAAATGTTTTTGTCATACACGAAGTTTGTATTTTAGTGCTTACCTGACGAACTCTCTCTTTAGCAGACCTCATTAAATGAGTAATAGCTCTGTTGTGGTGTAGCCTCAACGAGCTGAACTCATCACTACAGGTGAAAGAAGACAGCAGCCCCATTTTGATAAAGGTCTGGCAAAGCACTAGAAGAAGAATATGGACAACTATTATCAGAAAGGCCATCAATAAAATGGCAATTTTAAAGAGACTACAGAGTAATAATAGCTCCTATGAAAAAAAACAAACCAACCAACCTCGGGGCACCTGGGTGGCTCAGTCAGTTAAGCGTCTGCCTTCAGCTCAGGTCATGATTCCAGGGTCCTGAGCCCCTAGCCCGTTCCCTGCTCAGCAGGGAGTCTGCTTCTTCCTCTCCCTCTGCCTCCGCCCCTCCCCCCACTAGTGCTCGCTCTCTCAAATAAAATCTTAGGGAAAAAAGACCTCTATAAGAAAAAAGTTACATTTATACACATTACAGTGTGGAAATTAACCCTAGAGAAGGAACAATGGGTACTTTCGTTGTTCAGGAGCTCATCTAGAATTACCTATTTGATACTGAGCAGTCATTTGTTTCCCATGCCTGGTCAGCTGGTAAAGCATGAAGCTCTGTTTTTAAAAAGGCAAGAAAAAATGTAAACTTCAGTACTAGTCTCCTGACCTTCAAATACATAACCTTTTGCTGACAGGCAGCAAGAACAAAGGCAACAATGAAAACATGATTAGAACTGACTACAAAAGTGAATTACTGTTTTCGATGGTGGGCTGATTATCTCTAACCAACAAATAGCACATACGAGATGTGCATAGACCAAACACTAGGGGAAAGTTCAGTCTGACATCACAACACCAGGCTCCTCAAGTTTCTACAGAAGTGCTTGGCTTTTACTTATTCAAGGAATACAGAAACCGCAGTGAATATTCTTTCTTTTTTTTTTTTTTTTAAGATTTTATTTATTTATCTGAGAGAGAGAGAAGGAGAGATAGAGAGCACGAGAGGGAAGAGGATCAGAGGGAGAAGCAGACTCCCTGCCCAGCAGGGAGGCCGATGCGGGACTCGATCCCGGGACTCCAGGATCATGACCCGAGCCGAAGGCAGTCGCTTAACCAACTGAGCCACCCAGGCGCCCTTTATTTTTTTTAATTTAAATTCAATTAGCCAAGGTATAGTACATCATTGG